TGTGACGTGAAAAAGTGTAGACATTTGTTACAATTCGTTTTCTTTGCAATTATAAATCAAAACTTTATACTTTTTTATACCATTTTGTTACACTGAACTGTAAATAATGTATATCCATTAAAAGAAATCTGAAAAAGTTCTTCGTTGTATAGTTACTTCATTTATCTTTACCACACTATCGACTGAGCGAATAATTTTGTGACCCACTGTAGATCAAAACCGATGTACCTGATAACAGTTACGACCCTACTTTAGTTCTCTACAACTGTTTCAAAAACCGGAACCGAAATCATAATCGTTTTCAGTCCCTATCGATAATACTTTTAAAGTGTATGAGAGGTAACGAAAGTCTCCTTTTTTTAAATTTCTTTCTAACTTGGTTTTATGTTACCGATATTTTAATTTTCTTTACTGCTGAAAAATAACACATTTCAACAGAGATAAACATTGATGCAAGATAAACGTATTGATTATTTGTATGTTTAATTAAACATAAGTATTTCCGCGATTAGTATCCGAAAATCGGAGCTGCAACCGGGCACTAATCGAGCAGTGGTGTTGATTCCAAGTTGGGATAAGATTTGAGTCGAGCTGCTCTGTTTGTACTCTGTAGAAAAGGAAGGCGCGAATAAAAGAACGAGAGATCCGAACTTTCGAAAGTAAAAACAAACAGATAATTGAGGGGACATGAACCCATTAAATATTTTTATTTTTCACTTTTAATGACTGAAACTTTTATTAATTGAATCGTGAGGTTGTTCAATTATATACATTAAAATATACATTAAAACGAGGCCAAACACGATATATTTTGGAACATATTTACTTATTTAATAAATTTAAGTAATTTATTTTCTTTTAGAAAATTGTGATTTGAAGTATGTCATATTTGGACTTCTTATAATCACAAGAATCTCACAATTATGTTAATAAAAGTTTAATTTACAAAAATTCCTTATGAAAAGATTCTATCATTGCTTTAACATTAACTCATCGATATTTATCATCAGTGAACAATGTTTCATATTACAACTGCTCAGTCGTTGAGCTTCATTGCTTGCTGGGGAGACTCCACCGTCAGTGGTGGAAATTCACAGATCGGATCAGGTAAATACTAATCGCGAGAATATCGTAACTGTTTCAAGAACTGAAACCAGTATTATAACTGCTTTGAACTTCCGCCGATAATACTTTTAAAGTATATAAGAGATAACGAAAAAGTATTCTTTTTTTTTTAATTTCTTTGTCACTTGGTTTTATGTTATCGATATTTTAATTTTTCCTACTGCTGAATAATATCGCATTTTAGCGGAAATAAACATTAACACAAAATAAACGTACTGCTTATTTGTACCATTGATTTTATCTAATTGGCAATACTAATAAATAGTCATGAAAATTCTTACTCGCGTTTAGCTATATTGGTTATATTATTTATATCACTAACATTCAATGATGGAAATTACAGTCTTGAAATCTTTATTCTAAGGATTTGACGTTTTGAATGGTCTTGTTGATATTTCATTCTGCACAGTAAATATTTATTGCGCTTCGGATTTCTATTGTATTGGTAGATTTTAAAGTATTCTTTAGAGGAAGTCGTGATTCGCTTTGAATGAATCACCGACTAATTACTTCGTGCTTCCCACATTCCTTTAGTAACAATTTGGTGCAACAAAGAAGGGAGAGAATGATGCCAGTATTAAAGTAAAGATACCAATTTAAATATTTGAGAGAAGTAATTTAATTAAGACAGCGCGGTAGCCGACCATTCTCTGCAAAAGTATTCCGGCGGCTAATACGGCTAATTTTAATGCATGGTTGCCTCCTAAGTGATTAGTTTTTAATTCAATCAGAACGGAGGCGTTCATTTTATGCCGCGGACGATGCATACTAAAGTTTCGCCTGGTAGATATGCTAGTTTAGACGTAATTTTACTTTTTATTTCACCGTCCGACTCGATGAACACGAGTTTTCCGTTTTCTCTATCGCAACAGATATTTTCTCTGTTTTGCGTAACGGCGTGCTGTTAATGTTTTTTTATCCAACTTTAAGTAACTGACCGTTGCGGTAACAAAATCGTAGATTTCTTAGACGCGTAGAATGATTCCGGTGAATTTTTCGTTATAGAAATCAACATGTGTTTTCTGATCTAGTATTTTTTAATTAGGAATCACTACGTTATGCAATAACATCTATGAAAGACCTTGATAATTTGAAATTAATAAAAAATAAATTATTATCAATTGAATTCTATTTATAGCCTTCAAATATCATTACACTGTGCTTATTTGACATTTGCTTTTATATTTGATGGATATTATAGACATGCCGACAAGGTAGAATACTCTGAATACACGGCATTGTTATTCAATGAAAATTAATTACTCGGTAATATTGAAACAAATGTGAATACAACCATTTCCATATACTGCAAATATCTATCTATGTATGCCATGCGTATTGACTTTAGAATTACAACGTAGTTATTCCAAGGTAACCCTACAAACATACTTTAATAAATTCAAAATACGTCGCATAAAAAATGTAGAACAAATTTTATTTCTTGTCAAAGCAAATTTTATTGCTTTGTAATGTCATATATTATTTATAGTTTTTTACTTCTTCTACTAGAATGTGTTGTCAGTTTCAATTTTAAGTAAGTATTCAGTGTCGTCAAGATAAAGATAATTTTTGTTTGCAAAAAATGTAGCACTTTGTATTTTATTTCCTTTGGGTTAACAGGCAGCGCTTTTAGTATGTTTTGTTCCATTTTATTTTTCAATCAACGATTTGACATATTTTTTATTTATTGAAAAATATATCAATTTTACTACGTTAGCTACCTGCGTTACACATGTATAACACATGAAATCTATTTTGAGAGCTTGACATCACACATCTGCGATACGACAGGAAATGCGCTCATTATTTGTGATTACTATAATTTTTGATAAACGAGAATCTACAGTGCATTCTGCGAAAGTACAAAAATCAAAACAGTTTCTTTGTGTAAATTTTTCAATTCATGTGGTAGCAAACGTGTCGAGGTCTTCTTATCCAGACATTAGAAGAAATCAATTTTCTCAGACTCTATAGTGTCAACAACATACAGTTAAAACAGTTTTATAAGATTTGTATAATTGTAGTTATAAAGCAAGTTACAAAGACGCAAAGATATTGCGCGCAAATTTTTGTAACATCAAAATCTCATAGAAACATATTTAAAACAATTCAAGAGTATATGTCCATGCAATTTAAAACAGAAAAGTTTTCAAAACTATTCAAACAATAGATTTTTTCCGACAGGTTTCAATTTTACTCAATAAATGCGTTTCATTGAAGCCATCGAATTTTTATCCGATGTTAATTCAAATTATCCAATTGAATGGCGTTATTATTGTCGCATGTCCGTGTTATTGATTATTACCGCATTAAGTAGTCGCACCACATTTATAATACAGAAATGTTTTCAAATAGTCATCGTTCAATTGATCGAACTATAGTAATTCGATTAGACTGAGGGTCACTGGCCACTTCCATGGTGACCATTTTAATATTAACGTAGAAAAATGAAATTTTTATTTTACCGAAAAGAACTTTTTACTACAGCTAATATATGGTTTGAATTTAGCAGAATTATTATAAAAAGAATCATTTCTTATGAATTGTGCATGTACACGAAGATTCATTAGTAGAATCCATAGGACGAGTAACGAGTGGCGTGCAGTGCCGAAGAATGTCGAGGAGGTGCTCGGGCTCTGTTCAAGTTGTTCGGCTGGTCTCGTTTGGTCGGGTACTAACACGCAACGCCGTTTCGTGGCGGGTTTACCACACAGCCGGCGAGGATGATAAAAGTCAGTTGTCATTGCGACTGATCAGTTGCTGTTCACAACTTGGAACGCACGCTAGTGTTCTTCATCCAAGGAAGCTTCTAGCCACGCTGGCTCTCTCCTTAAGAAGGTACTGCTGCAAGAAACAATTCGACGACGACAACATGTCCGCTTCTAAGCGTGATCCTGCTTCCGAGCAGCTGAACGACTACAAAAGGAACGTGAAGGTAATCTTCGTCTCTTCATCCAACGATACTTTTCGTTCTCACTTTCTTATTTTTCATCCGCCCGTGTTTTTTTTTGTTTCGTATACCGTCCGGTAGACTTTTTCTTCTGTCGCGTCTGACTCGATCGGTAAAACGGGTTTCTAGTGGAACGATCTATAGATCGGTGTTTATTTTCGTTCTATTAATGGATAGATGGGATTTTTGAATTTCAAGGTGATGACGGAATTTTCATTGAACTCTTATCGAGTTCTTAGTTTGTTTTTACTGATATTTTGGCGATGCTGTATTTATGTCATGAAAGGAATAATGATGAGCGTAGGAAATACGAAACTCAGATGGAATGAAATAAAAAAACGGGGATACTTTTTTGTTTGTCGGTTTCTCAGAAAAAGTTTTCTCGTTTTTTTTTAATATAATGAATGAGGAAGTATGTTGAGATATGCAGGCAGTTGTCCAGCTGAATTGACGATACGTAGTTTAATAATATTTAACTTAATAAAATGGAGTTCGCCTATAAACTGGTTTAGGAATACAGAAAAATTTTTTACCTAACAATAGATATCTTCTCCTGTGACAAATATCTGATGTTTACAATAGAGTACATACCTTCGTTTCTTCGATCGATCGAATCCACATAATCACAACGATTTCGCGTGGAACTTTGCACAGATATTTCCGTTCATAAATTTATGTAAATTACCTGCTAAGAGGATATGGTATATATAAATATTTAAAGAGATTGTCATTTTTTCGACCCCTATTTAAATAAATTAAATTTATCGGAAGAGCAATTGTTCTATTTATATGAAAGTACCTTTGCTCGAATATTTTATATCTTATGTTGCTTCAATCGTATTAGTATTGATTTTAAATTTCGCCTAAGTGTGGTAGCCGAAATTGTGTTAAACGCTACGAAGTAAAATTCTTATTCACAACAGTGAAGAACCTGACTGTTCAGATAATATTTTGTCTGTAAAATTTTACATTAAAATGTAGAAAATTTTAAATTCAAATCTAAACTGTCATTTTTACATAGTTCATTATATTCTGTGCACTGGATTGTTTTTTTACATAATCGTATGCAATCTATTATCGACTTTTTAAATATTTTATTTTATTATTGTTCTACCTTCGTTTTTAGTCTTATTGATCATATACTTTTCCCTCGCGCCGGTTTCTATCGTCCGATAGGTCAAATTATATACGTAACCTACGTAAACATTCGTTGCTACTCTACTTTATCAATATTTCATTCACTTTACTCGTACTTTGGTTAAACGTATTCGGTTTTTCACCAATACACGTAGCAGTATTTTTGCACAAATTTTTTTCCGTATCGAAGCTAATTGTTAAGGGAACATTGATACGTCTTTCGTAATGAATGACAGTTGCACTCTCTTTACATATTATTTCACTTGTAAGTCAGAATTGATTCATAAATTGTCGACTGTGCATTCCTTGCAACAATGTATTCCACGGTTGATTATAGGATGACACGTATTCTATGAACAAATTGTCAGTTATAATAACCGTGACTCTACTTCAATCATCTTATTTGAACTATCATCATCTTGGGAATAAATCCAGTAACATCATTACGGACTCGCTAAGAATGGAAAACTCCTTGTTATATAAGATTTGGAAGTTCCTTCGCAGATTGAACGCATTTGTAGATGTTTCTGTTTGTCTTTGTCTTATTTTCTTACCATTGCAGATAACTAATTTGTTGGTTTATTATCAAAAAAGGATAGATCTCATAAAAGTATTCTGATTTCATTATTTAACGAAACTAAAACAATAATAGAACAATAATAAAGATACTAAAACAATAATAATGTGGATTACTGTTAAATGTAAGGATCACTGTTTACTTTAAGATGCCTGTTTCTTGGTATACTTCGGTTATCATGGTTCGTGTATTGAATTTATTCATTGTGAAAGTTGTTTTCATCTCAGTCTAATCAAATATCCTTATATATTTCGAAATTCAGATTTACTTATTGTAACTGATTTTGGTAGTGTTTTCCTTCAGTATTAATACATAACAACAGAACTTCAGACTCGCTTGTATCATTCCTGTTTACATGCCATTAACGCATGCGTGTATATCAGTTGGGTGCAAGAATAATGTTTGCCACATTAAAGCAAACACTTTACTTCTTATTTTTAACAACGCACGTTTCTGGTTGTAGTCATACTTATCATTAAAAAATACATTAACTTGTTTACGAAAAATATGAAAATATCATCCACGTATCTATCTCCGTGTGCGGAAGGTTAACATTTCGTATTGTTGTATGGCTACAATGTTTATTCATTATTATATGTACATTTAATCAGAAAAAGTTTAATTTATCCGTTTAGAGTTCACTAACACCGAGCAGGCAGTAAACAGTGAACTAAAACGATCTAATTCAAGAACACGGCCAAGTAGGATGCACATTTATACAAACTTTCTTCTATTCTTTTATGCATTTCTCGTTTATCGCTCACTTCGACATTGCAGACCACGAAGCAGCCTGTAGATTACTTTATTGTGCGAAACCGCATCATTTCTTTCGGAGTGCGCACACATGTGGTGCTAATAATAGTAAAATCAGCTGGGTTAATGATATTTCCCCCATCACTCGTCATATCGCGACGTTGGTTACACTCAATTTGTACAAAGTGAATTATCATTAGAAAGTAACGTTATTTTGTCCACCCGTTATGAAGCCGACAAACAATGTTAATGTTTAATGGGAGATAGTGGAAATTGTTGAGTAACATTGCAACGTGAAAATGGGTAAACTTGCATATCTTGCATTAAAAAAGAAAAGAAAATGAACAGTTGAAAACCTTTAAATGTGACGTCAGATGATAGCCTCTTTTTCCTGCTTGGCTGCACCTATGCAAATTTTTAGTTTGCTCGAACAAAAACAATATTTATTGTTGTGGGTTTTAATTTGACGCATAAAACTGCGCGAGAAAGACGTTTTAAAAAAGACGAGACCTTTTACCTCTTTAGGGAGGGTGTTATAGTTAAAAGTATTCCTTGAAGTTGATGGAAAACTGATGTTTAACGAGAACATTGCATAATCGACATGATTCATGCTAGTTCAATGCGTTGTGTCAGCGATTCAAGGGACACGTGAAATTTCCAGTAGACCGCGCCATCCATATACGGCCTCGACTAATCCGAGTAGGAAGGTATTTCAAAACGTAGGCCAAGAAATATTTAGAGGTAATAACACTAATCTATTATCGTAAACAGTGTAATTTTTAAATTTTCTTTGGACACGCAGTTGAAATATGGCACGTATAACTGAGGAAGTATGCAACAGGTTCTTTTTCTTAGGGAACTCGGTTCTTTGTCATTACAACTTCGTGAATTTTTACAAACGTTCAAAGAAATTTTTCCTCGACTATTGTCCTATCCATGAATAATTCTTGAGATTCTTGTTTTAAAGAGATTGCAGATAATAAACAAACTAACTTTAAAAGACGTACTTCTCAACAATATTGCGTTGTACTAGCAATAAAACGTATTTTATCGCCAGAACGTTTCACGAAGTTTGTTACGTTTATTATTATTTTCAAATAATATCGATGAACAGTGGACAAAATCAAAGTATTGTATAATATACGCTTTTGAAATACTTATGCGTAACCATAAATAGGGAGAGTAGTAGAGAAAAATGAAAAATGTTTTTACTTCCTTGGTGAGAGAGGAAAAGAGTATTTAAAGATATGCATGTGTCATCGCGATAACGGTGCACAAATCGTGCAAGTTTCGAACTGTGAAAATTCTTCCTCAAATATTTGAATTCGCAGCGGTGGAAGACAGATTTAACGAGTGATGCATTGGAACTGTTAAGATGAGAGTAACAGGTGTTCAGAAGATCCACAGAACATGAGCGGTATGAATGAATTTTAAATGTGTTTCAATATGAATCATTGCAAATAATGATAAATATTTAAAAAACGAATTCTACTGTACAGAGATTATTTTCACGTAGAGTTTTTAACATACACGAATGCCGTTATATAGCTCGATATATTTTGTAATTAATGAAGTTCCCTTTCACATACTTATAATTATGAGATAATAAATAACTTGTTTTCAAATTAAGTTATTGAATAAATATCCGAAATCTTACGGATTTCAATAATCTGGAAGGATTTTTTCGAGATAAAGATTGTAATAGATATCAAAAGTATTTCGATCTTTGTCCCTTGTGTATCAAACTTGCATCCATCGATCTTCAATGATGTTCATTGAGATTGTCTGTAATCAGATTCCAAGATATTCCTCTTCAAATAGTGGATATAAGAAAATAGGTACAAAGTTTTTGGAGTGGAAATTGTCCAGCATTAACATTTGATCTCATCACATAAACATTTTTATTTAAATCACCGATAACATTTTAATCAAAATAATCTGAAATTGTAAGCATTTTGCACAGTTCCGGTAATCGAATAAATTTTCTCGTTACACGAAAATAATCTCCTTCTCGATTTATAAAATAATGCCACATTTTCGTATCTGTAGTCTTTATCTGCGTACATTTATTTGCTTCAAAACACGCGGCTATATTTATATTAGATATCGGCAAATTTTAATCGATTTATTTCACGGAAGTATTTCTAAATGGAACATGTTTCGATTCGTAACGAGGTAATGTAAGTAATAGTATAAGAATTTATCTGTTTACTTTATTCTTAATGTGATACAACCATTGAAATTTGCTCTTTCGAGTAAAAACCATAATTTTCTATAAATATTTATAGCCCTGTCGAAAGAACTTACGCAGTAGCCCTCATTTTGTCGGTATGTATCGGTAATTCTAGAGTAGCATTCTATTTATTCGCCTAGTAAATTAAAACAACGCTAACGATCCAAGCAGTTAAAGGCGCGTTCTATTAATTCACTGACGATTAACCGTGTTTTATGCAAGGTGCGCGTCGCGGAGAGGTTAATTGTAAGGGACCATGAAGACGCCCTCGGTTGTCCCCGCTTT